GATGGATGGATGGATGGATGGATGGATGATGGAAAGCTAGATGGATGGATGGATGGATGGATGGATGATGGAAAGCTAGATGGATGGATACATAAATGGTTATATGAATGTTTGGATGGATGCATGATGGATTGGAAATCTAAACACCAAATACATTTTTTAAATCCATACTTTTTACATTCTGTATTTAAAACTAAAATCCATCACTGAACTGTTTGCTAAAATGACTTGATTACAGATTTAAAACCTCATTGCTTGATTTAAAAGTGTTCCAGGGGGACATTTATTGCAGTCGCACACCCGCCAACAGTGCGAATGCCATAAAGAAAAGGCAGGAGAAATAATCCGAAAATCACCAGACTGTGAAAATTTAAAACAGAAGAGAAGCTCTACAGTAACCTGAGCCTATTTGCAGAGTAGCACACATTACTCTGCTGACTGGCTAAAAAACACCTTGGTAATACAGGAATAATAAAGTGTGGCGTCATCTTTACAGTCAACAGACAGAAAATATCTCTACAAAAATAAAATGGTGTGGATGATGTATGAGTTTCACTTTTAAAATGAAATAAATTAGATCATTATTCATTCAGCTTCCTTATTTTTTGGGACGACATGTGCAATCATTCCCATAACAGATGACTGGGGCTTATTGGTGCCGCAGCCCAATGCAGCCTCACACTGCGTGAGTGGGCGTTCTCCTGATCTCACACTGTGGCGGCCATATTGCAAAGTGTCATGTTCAGGAGCGTGTTTTCATCTCATGTGGGCGTGAGTGAGAAAGTCAGAGGAGGAGGGGACGTGTCTCTGCACCTGCGTAAGGAGTTCTGGGAGTGGGATCTGGTCGGCTGCTCCTGAGCGGGGACATCAGGTGATGGCGGGGGCTCGATGATGGCCGTCTGCTCCTGCTCAGATGAAGAAATGAAACAGGGTGAAAGTGAGAAGCAGGTAAAAAAAGGAACACAAAGGTTGAATAGAGGATACTGCAGCGTTCCCTCCTCAATCCTTCCCCTTGGTTAATTAGTTGTCTAAAAATCATCAGAGTAATTAATCCAACAATGCTTCAGCTCCACTGAACGCACCATCTGGTTCAGACCCTACAGACTCTGCTTGACCCCCGGTTACAAATTAAAATACAGTTTATTCACTAGCAGAGGTCTAGCTGTGCTGGTTGTCCAGACACGTTGCTAAGACAATGCTAGAAATTAGGAAGAAAAGTTGCCAAGAAAATAAAAAGAAAAGAAATCAATGCAAAAATTTGGACTGTTACTGAAAGGCTGGCAAAAGCTAAAATACGAAGGTTTGATTTTCTCTGATCTTTACAGGATCAAATATATCAATGAATATTTGGAACCAACGAGCTACTTGACTTGGTGGATTTCTTCTAAATCCGTTTGCTTCCTGGCAGGAACTTCACTGCTAACCAACTTTCAGCAGGATAAAAGCCGAGGCCGTTCCAGAGGATCATTCTAGACTGACTGATCCGTTTGGTTTAGAGCCTGTTTTTTCCCAACCATCCACTGCAGACGGGAAGTTGAAGAAATCAGAGATGCGACAGAAGAGCAGGCAACCAAACAGAGCCTCAGCATGATGCAGCCACCACCATGCCTTTAAGCTGACACAGTACTGATCTCTACTATAAAGAGCTCCTATTAAACTGTTATCTATTCAGCAATAAATTATTTTTACAAATAAAAACAAACCAAAAAAATGTGTTGGGATGTTGGTACAAATTTAAGCCATACATATATTTAGTGTGCTTGTAAATCAGAATCTGCAGCAGAGAATACATTTTTCTAACATAAATAACCAAAATATCTAATGAATCTATTCTTTGTGCATCTATAGATAAGGATTAACTCTACCATGACTATACATGTAGGTCATTGAACTTTTGTTCCTTTTTCTAATGGTAAATCAGATGTGTCATCTGTGACAGTACAAGTTTAGAAGTTATAGATACAGATTATGAAACATGTGAATGCAATTAGGAGCAGTAAGATATTGGGTGCATTACCTTTTTTTTCCTCCTTTATTTCTTTTTTCCCAAAAAAAATGTTATTATTGTAAAATAATAATTCTTCCTAAAATCATACGTTGTATTACAACAGTATTACAATATGTATTATAACAGTAGCCATCTTTTTATCTGTTGTCAAAGTAAATTGGCTTTGGAGGTTGAGCATTATAAGCTTCTAGCTTCTGCCAATACACCCTTTTTTCAGACAGTTTTAATTTATGTTATATGGAAATATACTGTCTTTAGTATATACTTGTATGTCTAAAATAAATAAATCTAGAAGTTATAAATACAGATTATAAAGGTACTGCTTCGCAACAATGGAAGAATCAAATCCCTATACGTAAAATTACATATTTAAAAGTATAAATAACAGATTTACAAGTAATAATAACACATTTATGAGTAGGAATAACAAAAGTACTGGTAAAGATCACCAATGGAAATAATAACATACGAGTACAAATCACAGATTTACAAGTAGGAATTAAAAATGTGTTAATCCCATCTGTAAATCTGTGATTCTTAGAGCAACATTTGTGATTAATAGTGCAATAGAATAACTTCTAAACTGATATTCTTTTAACTAAAGCATCTGTTGTATGTATGTATAACAACAAGGAGCAATTATAATCCTAAATGTATACACTTAATATAAACTTTTATTGACTTACATTTACAAACTCAGACATTTATGGAAACATTGTCAATCAACAGTTATTTTACCCCATATAAAACACTGGCAATGATATTAACCAATCAGCAGAGAGGAGAAACACAGAGAGAAATGTTCTGCAGATTTTTGCTTTGTATCTCTAAACAGACCTTATGGACAAAAAAAGTTAACTTATGCGAAAATGTTGTAGCTTGCTAAAAGAATTGGTAACTAAAACAACTATTTTCTTTTTTTTGAAAACACTATATGGCATTTACTTAATAAGTTGCTTTTTTCCCAGTGTTTCATCTCTTTGTGCTTCTCTTTCTCCCATTGAGGAAAACACCTGGATTTATTTAATAGAATTAAACCTGCATCTTATCAGATTAAGCTCGGCTAATTAAGGCTGTCTGAGATCTCGCCTCAGATATTCATCCTCTCTGCTCTCTTCCCTCTCTGGGAATCAGCTGTGCCTTTCTCAGGTCCCCTGCAGCCTCAATGGCCGCAGCGCTGAGCAGCTAAGTAAGACGATACCCTTTAAGATGTTGCAAGGCGGAAAATCCCCAGCCTGCCTCCTTTTTTTTTTCACACCTGTGGACCATTTGTCTTACTCACTGAGGGTGCGGGGGAGTCCACCACATCTTTCCGGGTCTCAGCTTTCGAAGGAGAATCGCTGTCCAGACTCAACTTCTCCACTGATATTTCTCTGAACAGAAACAAACACAGGAAATATATCTAGTGTGGCGTTTCAATAGAGCAACTAAAAACAGTCAAAACAACGAAACGGTTACTGCTAATAGTTGAAGGTCCTTTGCTTTCCTTAAAGGTTAATAACCCTGTTGACTTTAGCCTAAAAATCTTCATTAGATTAACAACCCGACTGTCAGGTTAGTGACCTCATACCCCGAAGTGTGCGACAGCGTGTTGCTGGAGAAGCTAGGTGTGTATGCAGGTGTGTTGCTTCCAGTGGGGATGGCGTTCCTCAGCAGGCGGACCCAGGTGGCGATGTCCACGTTCATCTGACGGGCACGCAGGAAAGCTTTGCCTGAAACGCAAACCACAGCCACAAACAGGCAAACGTCATCAGGCAAACGATGAGATCGGCTTATTTCAGCTCGAATCCTCGAGGCTGTCGTGTTTCCCACATTTTTTTAATTTCAAAACTATTTCTTAAAGAGAAAGACAAAAAACAAACATTTTATTTATGAGTTTAAGTTTTTGAAAACTTATTTATTTGAGACTAGAAAGCATAGTAAAAATAAAAAAAGAGCCATGTTCAAAGTGCAGGCCTCTGGATTTACAGACATCTCCTTTTTTGAAAAACATGTTTTAATGCTAAACTCACAAAATTAAACTTGAAAATACTGTTAAGTTTGATATTAATGTGCATAATTCATCATTTGTGTTAAAAACAACTTCAATAAAGTAACATTTAAAGAATAACTAGATATGCTATAGTGGTCTAAGCTGAATCTGGTGCATGTTTGGACTAAATTTCCCAGTGGTTTCCATGTCTAAAAGTGGCTTTAGCTGATAATTAGACGTCTACATTTGTAGCTGAGACTGGCAAGGGGAAAATAAAACTTAAAAAAAAAGTGTGAACAAGCTGATTTCTAATTTTGAGATTTACCATCTGAGATGTACATCAGCAGCTTCCTCTTTGCAAACCAAATGTGAGGCCAGAGCATTTTGCATGTACGGTTCATACAGATATTATAACAGAACTTAATCATTTTAATGATGTATCTGGGCAAATGTAATATTTCTTAGGTCGGGTCCTGATAACCTGAACTATTTACTATAAATAAAGTCACTCTTGCCATCTGGATTAATCTATTTTGTCCTCAAACTAATCCTAATATTGTAATTGCAATAATTGCAATAACAAAAGATGAAATGTTTAAGATTTTCTCCAATGATTTTTGAGTTTGAAGTCATGCTTTTGCAGCATTTCCTACCTCCAGACTTTCTTTGTTGACCTTGTGAGTTTCTAATCCTGTCTCAGCTAAGACAATTTACAGACTAGGAAGTTTTTCTTAAGCTAAACTTCAACATGGGTCTAGTCGACAATTATAAATAGAGACAGCAGGAAATCCTGTCCCAGTCAGGTGTGTTTTGCAGTTAAAAACAGATCTATTCCCTCTGACTGTTTTAGATTAGTGCCAAAATGCACACCAGAAATGGAAAAATCCTGTTAATTTCTCTGTAGTTCCTCTTTTAAATTATTCCTAAATGAGAAAGTTGTGGTTTGGACGTGAGGCCTTGAACCCACCATGCTGTTTAGAGAAGACCTTCTTCTGCCGCTGCAGCCGTCGGCCTCGCTCTATGACCGGGTTGAAGAACGTCACCTGGAGCACAGACGTTTTTACGCATCAGAACTTAAACCCAAAGCTTTTCTGACCGTATTGTGTCGTATGATGCAGAGTCGGGCCAAACCTCAGCCAGGAGCAGCCCCTGCGGTTCCAGTTCCAGCTGAACCTGGTGTCTCTGGTTGTCCAGGAACTCCTCCAGCTTCAGGTACTTCAAGGCGCACAGGGAGCGGTAATCTCTCCAGTACACGGCGATCTCCATCTCCCGGGACTAAAAGCAGGACAGACGGTACTTCTAACCCCGTAGGTGCAGCTTTAAATAATCATATCTACAACAATCGTTGACCAAACTGTACTCAAAGCCCTTCAGGTGTGAGGAACGTCTTACTCTCTCCAGTTCTACGGTGAAGGTGTGGTCCCAGGCCTGCTCTCCCACCGTTCTCCAAGGCGTCTGTCCCACCACCGTGTTCTCCAGCTTCAGCACTGCGCTCACCTCCGCTGTGAACAAAAAACCCAAAAAACTCTGAATAAAAGACTATTTTAAAGCCTATGCAAGCATCACAGTTTGATTTAATCCATCAAACATGTCCAAATTATTATTTTTAATGTAATACTGCTTTTATTGTAAAATTCTAGGAGGTTATCTGATATTTTATTAATAAAATGCTTTATTTAAGGAACTGAGTACGGCTACCTTCGGGATAAAAAGCTGTTAAAAACTAATTTTATCGCATAGAGTAAGTAATGTTTATTTATATAGCAGCTTTTACAGACACAGAGATCACAAAGTGCTTCACAAAATGAAAACACATTTACAGTCACAAAAGACATGGTCATAAAACAACCCTTAATCTACTAGAAATAAAATGCTTCCTTAAACAAATAGGTTTTCAGTTCACTGTTAAAAACATAAAGAGAATCAAGTAAGCGCAATGAAAGTGGTGCGACTGCCGGAAAGGAGCGATCTCTCCTGGTCCCGTAACGAGTACGAGGGACCATGACGGGATCTGGCCCTGAGACCCCAGCCTCCGAGAGGGGGAATAAGGACGCAACAGGTCTCTAATGTAGGAGGCAGCCTGACCCTGAAAGGCCCTGAAGGTCAGCATCAGGATTTTAAACTGGAACCGAAAAGAGTTTTTAGAATCGGTGTAATATGAGCCCTTCTGATTGCATGAGTCAGTGACCTTGCCGCAGAGTTCTGAACCTGCAGAACGAGACAACCTTTTTGTTTAGACATGAAAAAAGACTGTTACAGTAGTCTAAACGGGAAGACACAAAGGCGTGCTAAAACTTTAGAGAAAAAAGTTTAGAGATTTTCCTCAGTTGGTAAAAACAGTTCCTTGTCAGCAGTTTTGAGTGGTGCTCTAAGGAAAATTTTTTTTTCAAAAATACATAGGTTTGCCTAGGTTTCTAAGGCTCGGTTTAGCAGACAAACTTAAGTCGCCCTGTTACGGCTACTCTTGCATCAAAATAGTTTCCCAAAAAATCAAAAATTGCCAGAGTAGTCTTAGGAGGAGGTTTTTCGACAAAAAAAAGCACTCGTGGAGAATTTTCTTGTTTCAAAAAGAGTTGACTTACAAAAAAATCAAAGATAAACGTTAAGTGATGTGTGTGAAAAAATTGTTGCACTCCTCACTCCTTCAAACAAACAATCAGATCCACCTCATCAGCTGCTTCTACTTGTTAATCTCAGCAGGAGGCGGAATGACAAGGAAGAGGGTCAAAGCAAAACCAATACATAAACAAATAAACAATAGCTCTACCATTCACACAACCTTAGATCTTCAACATTAACAATTTAGCAAAAAATAAATGAATTAATCTAATTCTTAATAGGCTCCAACACGCCCAGATACTAGATAGAGTGTGATAGGGTTAACATAAGGAAAAAATGGAGGAAGAAAGCTGATATGAAAGAATATTTGGTGCTTCTAGGATGTTCTAATAAAGTCATCATAACCCTGTTTCTCTGGGGACCTAACATTATGTGACAAACCGGTTGTGTTTGTTTTGGCTGTAACCTGTATTTATATCCAGAGCGGTAAGGAAGTAATGTCAGGAAGCATAAACATGTGAAGTTTACTGAACTCTGGGATTTTAGAGGAACTGTGTTCTTTAGTGACATGTGAGTAAATGGAAAAGTTTACATCAAACGCTGCAGGAAGGTTTATGGTGAAACGATGCAGGAAAATGAATCATGGTTCCAGTTAAATACGGAGGAGGATCTGTGATGGTCTGGATCCTGAAAACTATTTTCAGGAATTTCTTAAACTGAGTATTTTAATAATTAAAAGTCGATTTTTTTTTATTTTTCCCCTGTAAATAATTAAATAGAAACGTTTATAATGAAAAATCATAGCTTAATCTGCTAAATTTAGTTTTCTTTGTTTCACTCAATGAATTTTATTTTGAAATTAGTAAAAATATTTTAGTTTTTTTTGCTAAATATGTCTGGTTACACTTACTTTTTTTCACTGTACCGCAAACAGTTTATTATCTAATATTCCTTAAATTATTTTTCTGACAATATTTGGGAAAAAAATACGTTTAATTGTAAAGTTTTGATAAATTAACCTTTTATAGGGCCCTCAGTGAAATACTTTGAAAAAAATCAACATTTCAAGCCAATAGATGTATTGGAATCCAGGATAAGAACCCATACATTTGTAACATTGAAAAATATGGATATTTTTAATGGCAAAATGAATGTCAATGTAATAACAAGAAACACCAACTTGCCCGAATATATTAAGAAAAATAACAAAAGTGCTTCTATGAAAAACACTCTGAGAGTGAAAGAAACACATTTTCTTTGATACAACATAACCTTAGAGGCATTAAGGCTAATACCAGCACTTATCATTTTTAAGTTTATAAACCTAAATATAATTGTTAACTAGGCTTATAAACTTTTTAACTTTACTTTTTAACTTTTTAATTAGTTTTTTACCTTTTTTTCTTAACTTGGGTGGTTTTTTTCCTTTTTTTTAACTAGGTTTTACATAAATAGTCCGGTTTTTCTAAAAGGCTATAAGGTGTTTTAATTAATTAGGTTTCAGTTTCTTCTGCACTTCGTCACCAGGTGTTCATAGGGAGACCAGTCTGCCTGATCTGAAGCGGATCTGACAGTAAAGGTTGGGGTTCTTACAGGAGTGCTCGTCGTTCTTGCTGGGCATCTTGAGGCTCATGCTGCTGGTGCTGCGGTTGTACAGGCTGATCAGTTTAAACGAGGAGCGCCCGTCGGTCTGCGAGAAAGAAGGAAGGACCACCTGGCTCCCCTTGCTCCGTCCTGGAACGACATCCAGCAGCCCCACGCAGCCCAGGAGGTGAACCTGGAGAGTTCCTGGAAAGAGACGAGCATCTAGTGAACAAATCCGCTTGCAGAGCGGAGAGGGCGACGCGTCTGGCGGCTGCTGCTGCGTCTACCTGTTAGCGGCGACGGTTTGCAAAGCGTGCTGTACTGGTTGTGCACATATGGGGTGCTTTGCTGGGAGCTGAAGGCGGAGGAGGAGGCAAGCACCAGCTCCTCCTTGATTAGGCAGGCCTTGGGATGATCCTCAGGGAGCTCCTGGAGACGCTGCTCCAGGGAGCAACGCAGGAGGTCCAGACGCTGCGACGACTCACTCAGACCACACTGGGCCTGCAGTGAAGAAGAAGAGTAGAGCCAAGAAACACGACTGTGAGCATCAGTGTCTGCTTCCTGTGCATCGTTAGGAGGATGAAGCCCAAACCATCATACCACCCCCACCTAGTTCCTCATTCTATGTTCAGGAACTGAGGGGCCCAGTAAAGAGCTTTAGATTTACTTTTATGTCATAAGTATTCACACCCCTTTTTCAGCATTTCTTTAGTAGGTTAAAGAGCTCAAACTGAGTCCAATAGAAGCTGTGTTTTATACTGCAGGGCTTTAACTAGGCAACTTTTAGATATCATGGGGCAACTGCGGGGTCAGAAGAGGTGAAAAGGGGGCCGTCTGAGCAATTTTTCTACGTTTGTAGTAATCCATCATTCTTTATGTTCACCATTTTAAACACTTGTGCAGTGATACAGTTTCTTTCATGTTTGCAGAAATTTACCAGCTTCTACAAGCTTTGAGGTTTGCAGCAATATTAGCATTTCCCACACATTCCTAGTGTCAGGACTGCTCTCTGTCTGTTTGTGTTTCTGTGTTTGTCTCCCTTCCTCCACCAGGAGGCGCCTGGTTCTGGTCCGCCTCCTCACACACCTGCTCATGGTTTCCTCGTTAACGGAGTGTTCTTAAGCTTCTGACTGCCACTACCTCGACGCCAGAGTGTTTGCCAGTTTGGGAAGTCATCCTGCAAACTGGTTTTCTCGGACCTTCTCTCCCTGGAAGGATCAACTGAGCTACAAACTGAGCTGGAGTTCAAACAGGAGGTTTGGATCCACTTTCCCCAAGAGGTCGTTTGAGCTTCTCACTGAGAAAGGGATTGTTCTCCACTACGACTGGTTCAAGTACCACAGGAAATCTGAGTGGCAGTCAGTTTCTCCGTTCACCTACTAACAACCGCATTCTGGGTAAACCCTGTTCCGCCCTCCACCGAATCAGACAAACACTGGAACAACGGCACACAGACAGGAGTCAAGGATTCAACAACTTCTCTGAAAACGTGAGTCAGCAACCAAATCCACTTCTCCAAGTTCACAAATCTATTTTCCCACTGAGCCTGAACTAATCGCTGTGCCTTCCCCTCACTTTTCAGTTCCGGTTGAGCAGTGTTCAGTGCAACACTTCTCTCTGCATTATCTCTTCAATAAAACCTGTTAAACTTTTCCCCCTGGTCTCCCTGTTTGGTCTTCTCCATTTGGGTCTGAACTTTAGTAAAATCATGACCTACTGTAGCAATGCACCATCCTTCAAATGGCAGCATTAATCCTCCATCTACCACACTTTTGCATAACTCTACAAACTTCTAATAGCTTTTGATAGGGTTAAATAATAATAACTCTTTATTGTCCTAGAAATGAAAACCAAACAAAGCAAGTTGCTTTTCTGCAGAAAAGGAGATAGAGAAGAGACAGAGGATGAGACGCCTTAAAAAGTCTTTTGTGCTGCTTTTATTATCGGACTTCAAAGGAATAACAGGAGGGGTCAGAGGTTTACACATGATAAAGCATGACAGTTCCTTGTGCAGTTTTATTGCAGGTGATGACCAGTCAGCTGCAACCACACACGGCTGGATGGAGCATGACTTTTCCTATTCTGGGAGAACCATTTATCCTCCCTGTTTGAAGTTAGAACAACAGAAAAAACATCAGAACATTCCTAACAGGTCAAATGCCTGTAACTTAATATAAAATGATACCATGTACACTTTTCTAACAGCTTTCTTCTGGCCATTCGACCATTCAGACCTGTGAGTTCAGTTGGACAACACGTCTTTTCCTCCATTTTAAGTCCAGGACTAACTTTAAACTTCAGACAACCTGACCAGTCTGCTGAGTTCCTAGATGTTCTCCAGTGTTCTCTAACTAACCGCTGAGGCCTTCACAGAGCAGATGGTTTCATTCTAAGAGCAAATCACACACAGATGGAGTCTGGCAGCTAATTAGGTGACCTCCTAAGGCAAAAGGTTTGCACTGCATTAATTAAATGCTATGAGAGCAACGGAGACTAAAGACAAGCACACTGTTTAGAAAAAATGTGAATCAATCTAAGGGGTATGAATACTGATGATTTTGAGTTTTCTGTGATATAAAAGGAGTTTTTTGTCAATTCTGCAAAAAGCTGCTCATATAATTTAACCCAAACAGTTTTCATAGGATGATGGGGCTGCTTTCATCAAACAGTCATCCATAAAATCACAGGAGTCAGTTTTGTTTTTTTCAGCTGCATAAATACACCAAATACACCAAGACTGTGTGCTCTGACCTCAGCGATGGCCTTCTTATCCTGGACCTTTCCGGCACCCAGCAGCCTCATCATGTTTTTGGCTCCCTCAGCCATGGCGTGCTCCACGCGGTAGTGATGCCAAAGCTCCTCCACGCGCAGCTCCACTCCACACAGGTCCGGCTTACCTGGGACACATTCAGCACATTACACACAGATAGAACCAAAGGGGGATTTGCGTCAGCGAAAATTAAAAAATAATCAAATATTGAAGGTTTATAATGAAAAATCACATAATGTATTAACTTGGGTACAGTTTGTATTTTTGCAGCTAGATGTCAGTAAATCCATCAGAGATCAAATCATGAGGAGAGGCTTTTTACAAGCAATTTATCTGAGTTTTTAATCAATCAGCATAGATCTGCATTGATTGAAATAAAAACACTGAAAAATATCAAACTCCAACGTGATTTGAAGCAGGAACAACCCTGATTTGTTAAAACAATAATAAACCAAAGTCAGCCAGTTAGAAGCTGTACAAAAGCTGTGCAAAAACGATCTAGAACATTTCTTAAATTAACTGTATTTACTCTTAATTTAAGTCGGCAAATAAGACGATTTGCTGCTGGAATGAGTATTTTTACTCTTAGAATAAGATAATTAGATAATACACACTTGATATAAGACAATTCATTTATTTTTTCTTATTTGAAATGTAAATTGTCTTGTTTCGTTGGCGGTGTCTGACTTACCTTCTCAATTCAAGGAAAAATGTATATATTTTAAGAAACAATGACTCATCTAAATTTAAATACTTTGCAGTATATGCAGATCAGCTTTACAATTTATCAAGCACAAACTAAAAGAAGCATGTTAACTGTTGATCAAATATTTTGTGCCTGAATGGACCAAAAATCTATAAAAGATTAGAAACATCATCAGATCTTTGAAGTTTGTTTAATGTTGAGGAGAAGTTAAGATCAGGCTGTCAGGAAAAACAGCGACTGTCTTCTCATTTTTAAATTTTGAATGATGGTATCAGTCAATTAAAAGGCTTCTTCCTATCAGAGCTTCTAGATTTTTATCACTTTAATCCAAACTGTAGTTAAAAGCCTTTGGGTGATCCAAAATGCTGCAACCAGAGTTCTGATGAATATTAAAAAGAAAATCATATTTCTCCAATCTTAGTCTCTCTTCATTTCTCTTCATAACAGAGACAGAGACACAGACAGCAATATTCTTTATATGGATAGTAAAGAAGTACGATAGTCCAGCTTTGAAGTAACAAACGCATCACCTCTGGACAACATATTTTTAATTTTTTTGCATTATTCCAGGTACAAAAAGAATAATCACCTCTCCATTACCCATCTCTGGATTAAAGTAACAAAAATCTAGAAGCTCTGTTAGGAATATAAAAGAAGCCTTTTTGATAAAGACTCAGGTTGTCCTGAACAATCTTTATAGTTATGCTGCTATAGGTTTAGACTGCTGGAGGACAAAGGGACCACTTCTTCATTCTGCTGCTTGGCCTGTTTTTCAGTGTTTTCTCCTTTTTCTCCACTAGAAATAGCTATGGGCTCTGCGTCTAGTGTGACTAACAATATATGCTTATGCTCTTTCATCCTGTGTGATATAAAAACCAGCTCAGAGCTTGTCTGCTTAACTGTTTCTTAACTATAGAGCTAGTTTACCTTTACCTTTTCTAACATCGAAAGTATTTCTGGATCAGTGCCTCTATGTCCCTATGTCTGCCTTTGTCTCGTATTGTCATATAGTCGTGCAAAGTCAATGACTGAATACAATTAGCGGTCATTGCTTTGATAGAAAACTTTTAACCAGCCTGACTGGATGACTAAATTTAACTCTGTAAAGCGTCTTAAGATGACGAATTGTGAAATGCTGCTATAGAAATAAACGGAATTGATAGTATTTGGCAAAAATGCCACTAAGGTAGTTACTAAATGATCATAACATCAATTTTATTATTTAGAAATGATCAAGTGGTCAAAAAGATTTAATTATGTGCAAACTCCATTATTTTTATTACTAAGATAAATAAAATAAATAAATAATTTACAAAAATAGAGGCACTACTTCTAATCTATTTTGTCCTATACTTGATTTTTACTCACTTACCAAAAACATGAAAAATGTTTAAGTTAAAACATTTGAATGTGCACTTTAAAGTTAACCCTTAACCGTCTGCTACATGTTTTGATCAAAAAGTGTTTGTTCTCCTTTCAGTAAAGTTTCTTAAAAGCAAGAGTCTTGATTTTTTATCATAGTATTAGTCCAGGTAAAGGAAAAATAAAGGAAAATGTATGGTTTAGAAATACTCAAAAAGTTACTGAAGTTTCTGTGCATCTCTGCTTTAATCTGATCAGACTTTGATGATTGAATGTTAGTGGAAATATGACCAGCAGGATGGGGGTGTTGCTGATGTGCAGAGATTGAATGTGTAGCATTTAAACAATCTTGACTAAACAAGTCTAATAACGAGCACATATATTTCAAGAATAAGTCGATTTTTTGCAATTTATGACACATTAAGTAACCGGGGAGCATAATAGAATGCTTATTTAGTTAGATCAGTTCTTAGCAGGTCAGCTGGAAACTCAAACGTCCCATTTTTGTTGCTTCACATCAATGAACGCACTCTGAATGTTGGGGAAACAAACAAACTAGAATTTTTTTGCATAAAAGCTGAAATAAGTAATTTAGTTTTAAAAGGAAACTACATCTGCATTTCCTGTTCTTTACATGCTTTAGCAGTTTTGGTTCTTTCATATATGAACTGTTTCAGTGGGAAACAGTCATTTATACCTGCCTGGGGGGTAAATATTTAAAGAGGTAAAGTGAACCTCCTTCAACAGACTCTACACGGACTTAAAGGTTTCTAAAAGTCAGTTTCATCTAACGTTTAAAGCTCTGCATTCTCTTTGGAAAACACACAGAGGTTGTTGTTGATGATTCAGTGCTGCAAACCACACCATTAGCACGCCATAATTATTGCCTCCCTGTTTCAAAACAGTGCAGCCATGTTTTACAGCAGCCGCTCCTTTGGTGCTATTATAAATAATGAATGAAGACCCACAGCAGAGAGCCCAGCAAACTGTTCTAACCAACGTTAATTGGAGTTTTTAAAGCAGAACTGCCTTTAACTGGGATCAGAAGGTCGTTGCTTTCAAGAAAATACGACTATTTCTTCTCTTCCTTTGAAGGATTTCCTAATTCTTGTTTGTATGTCGATTCCCCTTCGACCCATCGACAAGCTGTATTTCCTCTTAACCTTGCCGTTTAGTCTAGAGCTGCTCTCCAGTTCTGCACGCTCCACTATCCTCCTTTTTTTCTTGCTTCAGCTCACAGGTTCCTTCAACTGTTGGTTGCATTTCTTGCAAGTCAACCAGCTGCAACGACTCGTAAAAGTCTGCAAACGCTGACTCATCAGCAGCTTCGGAACAATTTTAGGAACTTATTCTGGGTAGGAAAAACAGAGAGCCTCGTCATTAGAGTCTACTCCACATGACCAGAACCTATTGTGATATCTATTCAAATGCTGAGCACTTTCAGGAGCTAAAAAGATGATAAAGATTCAAATATGTCCGTTCTACTACCATCTGTGAGACAGTCTGCCTTCCAGGCCTCCTGCTTCTGCCCTGCCTCCTCCCTAACCTCAGCTAAATGAGGAATGGCTTTTAGTCGTTGGGCAGCATCAAGGGGATGGAGGAACGTCAATAAGGCCCAAACAGAAGAGAGCTGTAATGGATGATGTGACTCTATATAAATAAATATATATATCTATGAATGTGTGTGTATGCTGGAAGATCTGAAGCCAGAACTGATCGATTAGCCCTCGGGTTATAAAATATGCAGCGTTTCCGAGTCCAAAGGTTGACAGGTGGGATGAAAGGGGGGCTAAAGCTTAAAAGAGAGTAAAATAAATAAAGGAGTGGGTACTTTGGTTGTCGTCGGACTGCTCTGTGGCCTGCATGGCCTTTCTGATCTGCATGCGGATGATGTCGATCTTTGTCTTGCTGTCCTGCAGCATCTGTTGAGCTGACTGGAGAAGCTTCTTGTCCTGCAAAGGATCAGAAAAACAACAATCAGGTTTTAAAGAGCCCAGGGGATTCTGATTAACAGAGCCGTGAAAATAAGTATTGGCACCCATACAGATTTCTTCTTTTCTTGTTAATCATTTTGCTCTGGATCGTCAAAAACAAGTTTCCGGATAATGTTATTTAATTTAATTTCAAAAGGGCGTTCAATTCAACCGCTGACAAGAAGCAATCAGCCTCCTAAAGCTACTGAGTTTTTGACATCACATGATTTTTTTCCATGTCACACTGACTGCGTATAGAAAGGCTCTGGCTAGGCAGGGTGAGCAGATCTGTGCAGATTTTTTCCACCTCTGTCTCTGTGCCACACAACTTTAAAACAATTTGCCATGTTTAACTTTGACCCATTATGATAAGTTATAAAATGAATAAATAAATAAAAAACAAGCAGCTATAAAGCAATGCCCCACTTAACGAGTCTGTGCAGGATCTGGAACAAGAAGAGATAAAGAGTTTTTATAGGCCTTTATTAAAACATAATGGAAATTACCTTTAAAGAAAAAGAAAACGCAGCAATAAACACTGTGGGACGGTTTCTATGGATACTTGGTGAGGCAGTGGGAGGTGGTTCTCAGAGAAAGATCTGAAGTTTTTATTTTATTTTCCTTGGAGAATGATGTGCTTCCTTTACCTGCTCTGTCTGTCTCTCGTTATTTTATATTTTTGTGAGGCACAAAGAATATCACCACTTAATCCATTTTCTGTCCTCCTGACTTCCTATCATGGGTAAGTAATCTTTTTTTTATGTTTTATTGATTGTTTCGCTCAGTGGCACAGTGGGTAGCACTGCTGCCTTGCAGCAAGAAGGTTCGGGGTTTGATTCCCAGCCTGGGGTTTTTCTGCATTGAGTTGGCATGTTCTCCCTGAGCATGCATGGTTTCTCTCCGGGTACTCCGGATTCCTCCCACAGTCCAAAAACATGACTGTGAGGTTAATTAGATTCTCCTTAGGTGTGAGTGTCTGTGTGAATGGTGGATTGTCTCTGTGTTGCCCTGCGATGGACTGATGACCTGTCCAGGGTGGACCCCGCCTCTTGCCCATTGACTGCTGGAGATAGGCACCAGCACCCCTCGTGACCCCACTCGGGATAAGCGTGTTAGAAAATGGATGGATGGATTGTTTCTTCAGGAGTCTGACCCTCTTACCATATGTGCTCTATGTGACTCAAAAAGTAAGTTTCCCAGTGCAATCAACTGATTTTATTTCGTATTTTCCCCCAAAGCAGATGTGTTTTACTTGTAACCGCCTCTCTCTTCCTGACAGACCTGGACTTGCAGCTGAATTACTGCGTAGTCCGACTAAAATAGACCTGGCGTCTGTCACAGTCGGACCTACTCAGCCCCCTTGAGTAACATCGTGTCAGGTGTGATCATCTCCATTGATTTTCAATGTGCGCTAAACGCCACCAGCTCATCCGGATCGGACCCAAATTCGGAGTGTTCAGGCCTTTAAAGGTTATTGTGGAAGATTTTCATGATTTTTTTTATTAGACCCATCCTCTCCACTTTGAAAAACAATGTGTGTACGAGAGTGTGCAGGAGTCTGTTTCTCCTTGTGCACGTTCTGTTTAAAAGTAGCTTTTCTCATAGCTCATACAAGGTTACAGTGCCCGAACGTCCGCCCTAACCCCTAAATCCTTCAATCACTATATAGAACGGGGACTATATAGTGAACTTAACTGACCGTTCGGACAGATGATCACTGATTTTTGCTCTGTAAGATGAACTGGCACTATATAAATAAAATTAAATCAATTGAACATCTCCAAATCCTCTTTTTTATCTATTTAGAGTTGGACATAATAATGCACACATGCTTTTGTGTTGCCCAAGGATTACCATGCTCTGGTTTGAATTTTTAAACTCGTAGCACAGCATATTATACTGCTCTCTCCACTTGCCTTCTCCAAGCCCTGTCTGTGTTTCCTTGCAACCCTTTGCCTCTAAAAACTAGTGCTGTATTACATGCGATCAGTTTTCCTCTCGACCTCTAAATGTCTAGGCATGTCTCGGTCTCGGTAATGTCTCAGTGTCGGTAATGTCTTGGTGTCGGTAGGTGCAATCATGATTACAGCACCAGTAAAAATATGCCAGGTGGCTCATCCTCCTTAGAAACTCCCCTGTCCACCCCCCTAGGTTTCAGTTCTCAAAAACCTACAACGCAGCAATAGTTTATTCCTTTCCGCTGTCATCTTAAGCCTCATCCCCATGCAGGGGACCAAGACCTGGTCAGCCAGGCCAACAATGAGCATAAAGGGCTGGTTATCCTCCCACAGCAGTGTGTCGCAGTGAGATTGTCGCAGATATTTTTGATTTATGCCCAATATTGAAGCGTGGTCTGCGCTATGTTATTCCACGCCAAAACGCAAGAGGGATAATCAGGAACTAGCTGTGGGTCTAGATACGGCCGAGGCAATGAGGAAGTGGGGGCAAGTTTGTGCGACAATGGAGGGAAATGAAGGCGAAAAAGAGCGAGGATCCAGGTGGAAAAAGGGTCCCAGCGTTCTTGCGCACCTCGCTCTTCTAGCTGGTCCAACTTCACAAGTTGTTTTCCAAAAGGGCGGTCGTACAAACAAACAAGCCGGTAAGGTACCCAACAGGAAATATCCATAGTGTAGAGCGGAAGTAGATTTGACCAATCAGAGGCCTCCTGTCTGCGTTCACCTACAATCTTGGAGAGGTGCAGTAGAGTGTCTGCAGAAGGGTCGGAGGCACATCTGCGTTAACTGCGATGCACACGCAGACGACCTGGTTTCTGAGAATAAATCAGCCTTAACGACTTCCCTTTTTAGAGGCATAGGCCAGTATCGGGTATTGCAGGCTAACACAGACCTCAACGACTCCATTACCAAGGCATTGGCCTGTTTCTTCTGTTCAATTTGCATGTTTTCTAAGCCAAAACAAGGATTTCTTTTACTTTTTATATATATTTATATTTTTTCTTTGTAGATCTAATACTTTTATTAAAATTTTTTTTCAAATTTGTCTTTTTTGGATTTAGTTTATATGTATTTTATTGTTTTTAAATTGTGTTTTACATAACCCATTTTCTTGGCTTATGGGGTCAGGCTTTCCTCTGGAGTGAGGAGCAAAGGCGTGTTTCTATTGGTCTGCTGGACTCTAGCAACAACCTTTTTATTGGTCAATGTGCGCGTCAAGAGGGAGCGTTTGAGCTTGAAGTGAAAATAATGTGATTTGGAAAACGGAATTTGAAAAGAATGCAATTCGTCAAAAAAAAGAAATGTGAAAATCTGTAAAGAAATTCTGAAAAAAATTACATTTGTGAAAAATATTTCTGAACACATAAAAATGTAAAATATAAAATAAGTAAAAATATATTAAAAATATTAATAAAAAAAACTAAATCTAAGAAAAAAGCAAAGGTACTAAATAATCTTTTTTTTTTTTTTAAGTTTCATCTCTGGATTGCCATTTCATCAAATTTCCATTTACAAAATGCTTTCTATATTTGCAAACACAACACAGAAAATTATTATAAGTATCAGAATCTGTTAATGTTGTCAAAGTCTCAGTACCATGTTGAAATGAAAAACTTTTTGATATGTAATCTTGGTCTTTCTCAGGAAGGCTCACCACGGTTCTGTTTTCTCCAAGGCTTTTAACCCTTCATCTACTTTTCTTTGATCAGGCCTTTCACTGCTGCTTTTATATAAACTTCAACCTACTTCATGCTGTCAGACAGGTACTACATGAGTGACTTTCAATGTGTGGTGAGAGAAATTTTATTTTTTTCGTTCAGGTCATTTTTGTCTAGAATAAAATCTAAAACATAAGTGTGAGGAGAAAAAAACGTAATGACAGAATCTGTGAGGAGCTAAAAACTAGACAGGAGTGAGTCCAGACGTTTACCTTAGTTCCCCCACTGGAGTATATCGGGATCATATTCTCTGCTCCCTGCTTGACCTTTAGCTCGATGTTGAGCTGACGCTCCAAAGCTGCAATCCTGTGCTGATTGGCCGACGTCCGACTGACGGAGCCCGGAGACTTGATGGTGTCTGGGAAGAAGAACAGACATGGAGGTTATTTCTATGTGTTCACATCAACACATACAGTGATCCTGTTTCTGTTCTGCTACAGAAACTGGTTTTAAAGGAAAGGACAGATATGTACTAAATATAACCACAACTAGAGAAAAAATAAAAGCATTTTAATTGGACTTTATACACAGAGTGCCAAAGGTGGAGCCGCAGGTAATTGTCCTTCAATGGTAGTACCAGGAATGACCAGCAGAGGCTGGTTTGGAAATAAAATCTGAATTTCCTAAGAAAAGTAAAGTAAAGCAGTTTAATCAAGTTGTGAGTCGACACATTTAATCAGTGACCAAAAATGGAAACATTGAAATGACTAAATTTCATAAACCGACTAATAGAGACCAACCAACAATCAAATAGAGAGAATAATAATTAAAACCTCTGATTTGGTTCTTATGGATTTTTTAAATGTCTAATCTAAATGTAATTGTTGTTGGATTTCTACTGCTTTAGGGTAGGAGTCCCTTAAAAAAGAGCTTTTTACTCTCAATTGGACTTTCCTGATTAAAAAAACAAGATTAAATAAAGAAATAAATAGTTTAGCTTTTGACTTAAACCAAAGAAAAAAAAAACTTGCATGTTGACTTCAAAGTACTGCTGTTTAACTTTTAGCCACTAGGGGCACTAGGTCTGTAACATCTAGATTTAGCGCCCCTGAAGGCCATTGGCAGAACTGCACTGTCATAAAAAAAACCAGCCTCCCCCAGCCGACCAGTCTGGACCAACAGATTGAGAAGTCATGGAGTTACTGGTAAAGTCGAGGCCACATTCACCCCTCTAGATTAAATCCTACATCAGAGAACCAAAACATAACAGGCGCAAGTAATACTTATTATTTCCAACAACACACTAAGTTGTGAGCACAGAGTACTTTATGTGGCCATTATGGGAGCAATTAGCTGTGGTAAAAACATTACCGGATGTAGCCTTTCCTCCGTTTTTCTAATTCCAGCTTGAAAATGCCCTTTACAGCAGGGTTTGTTATAATATATAGGCTTGTCCCGATCCGATCCACGTATCGGATCGGACGCCGATATTGGCAAAAAAATGCGTATCGGCAAAGCATGT